GTGTACAATTTTGGTAGCGCTAGAAGCAATTTGAACATGATTTTTATGTCATTAATTGCATACTGGCGTTCTTATTTTAACAACATATTCGCCTGATTGAGAGCGTAGCATCTGATTGAGAGCGAGATTGCGCGATACGCTGTAGCCGGACTACCACTGAGAGGTGGAGCTTGCTGTGTAGCTTGAATTGAAGGGCTAGCCCGTAGCTTCAAGCCGCTACCCTGGTCATCCTGTGGGAGTCTCTCGTTGTGGAGCTACAGCGGGGAGCAGAAGCTACAGCAGAGCCCACCGCCCGACGCGATACCGCCCTGAAACAGTTTGAGCAGAAATAGCCAATCTGGGCAAATCTAGCAACTTGTCTAGCTCCTCGCTGCAGCATCCGATGACGATGACACGCATATGCTCGCGAAGCTGCTGATGAGACCTTCAATTTGCACCGCTTCTTGGAATAGCCCGTCCCCTACTTGCCAAGAAATGGCAAGAGGCGTCTGGACCCGAAATTTCAATTTTTTTGGCTCTCGCTCTCAATCAGATACTTCGCTCTCAATCAGGCGAATATGTTGTTTTTTTCACATAGACATCACGATATATGAACACAACATAACAACACTACTCCAGGAATTGCTTCAACAAAGAAACGGGACAATGCCCAATAAAGCAAAAGATAATCGCACGTAGGCTAATCTACCAAAAAGTCCTTCGTATCTATTCGACTCCAAATACCAAACTCCACTTTCTTCCAGTATGAATTCCGCACCATAGGTGCATTTACACCCACGATGTTTGCAGTCACTGGTGAGGTACGAAACAAGGTATACATGAAATTGTGTAAAGTATTACGTATGAGTCGACTAGAACAAAAACGTGCAAGCATGTCAGCCATCAATAACAACATATTCGCCTGATTGAGAGCGTAGCATCTGATTGAGAGCGAGATTGCGCGATACGCTGTAGCCGGACTACCACTGAGAGGTGGAGCTTGCTGTGTAGCTTGAATTGAAGGGCTAGCCCGTAGCTTCAAGCCGCTACCCTGGTCATCCTGTGGGAGTCTCTCGTTGTGGAGCTACAGCGGGGAGCAGAAGCTACAGCAGAGCCCACCGCCCGACGCGATACCGCCCTGAAACAGTTTGAGCAGAAATAGCCAATCTGGGCAAATCTAGCAACTTGTCTAGCTCCTCGCTGCAGCATCCGATGACGATGACACGCATATGCTCGCGAAGCTGCTGATGAGACCTTCAATTTGCACCGCTTCTTGGAATAGCCCGTCCCCTACTTGCCAAGAAATGGCAAGAGGCGTCTGGACCCGAAATTTCAATTTTTTTGGCTCTCGCTCTCAATCAGATACTTCGCTCTCAATCAGGCGAATATGTTGTTTTTTTCACATAGACATCACGATGTATGAACACAACATAACAACACTACTCCAGGAATTGCTTCAACAAAGAAACGGGACAATGCCCAATAAAGCAAAAGATAATCGCACGTAGGCTAATCTACCAAAAAGTCCTTCGTATCTATTCGACTCCAAATACCAAACTCCACTTTCTTCCAGTATGAATTCCGCACCATAGGTGCATTTACACCCACGATGTTTGCAGTCACTGGTGAGGTACGAAACAAGGTATACATGAAATTGTGTAAAGTATTACGTATGAGTCGACTAGAACAAAAACGTGCAAGCATGTCAGCCATCAATAACAACATATTCGCCTGATTGAGAGCGTAGCATCTGATTGAGAGCGAGA